ACGGCCCGTTTTACAAACAGTCAATCAGCTGAATGAGCCATTGATTTATGTCCCATCGCTGCCTTAAAACAACCATATGAATCACATTTCATTAAGTAAAGTATCACTGAATTAATTCACTCCATTCATAATTGGAGTCAGTCTAAATGAGCCAGGGTCATATTTGATTTGAGAAGGAGCCTTGCAGACCAATCTATCAACCTCTGTGATGTGTAACATTCGTTTAAACCCCTAATGGCCTCAAGAAGCTGAACGCTGGGTGTGAGGGATTAAAGACGCTTCTTATTAAAGGCTCATATTCAAGAGAGGCCATTCAAGCACTGGACCCATAAGCACAGGATATATCTAATGAATTTTAAAGAGCCGGCAACAAATGAACAAGCAAATATACAAGTAAAAAGGAGAAATAGAGCATACCAGCACTGGCAGGGCAAACAAACATTCAACAATAATTCAGGCCATAGAACAAAAAAAAGTCCAGGTTACATTTTACTGACCTGACCTGACATGACATGATCATTTTACTAACATAAAATAATAGGTTACATTTTAATAACAGAACAAAAAAAAAATAATAATAAAAATAAACAAAACAAAAAAAGAAACATAAAAAACTGTAGTCAGCCAGTCATTGTTGCAAAACAAAAACTGTGATAAGTTAATTATGATTGTTGCAATTATAACAGTCTAACATAACATATAATAACATATAACATATAACATAACATATAACAAACAAAGAAATGTCCAGGTTACATTTTACTAACATAACATAACATAACATTACATTACATAACACAATCATTTTACTAACATAAATAATAGGTTACATTTTAATAATATAACAACAAAAATAATATGAAACATAAACAAATTGTAGTCAGCCAGTCATTGTTGCAAAACAAAAACTTTGATAAGTTGATTATGATTGTTGCAATTATAACAGTCTAACATAACATATAATAACATATAACATATAACAAACAAAGAAATGTCCAGGTTACATTTTACTAACACAACACAACATAACATAACATAACATAACATAACATAACATAACATAACACAATCATTTTACTAACATAAATAATAGGTTACATTTTAATAACATAACAACAAAAATAATATGAAACATAAACAAATTGTAGTCAGCCAGTGATTGTTGCAAAACAAAAACTTTGATAAGTTGATTATGATTGTTGCAATTATAACAGTCTAACATAACATATAACATAACATATAACATATAACAAACAAAGAAATGTCCAGGTTACATTTTACTAACACAACATAACATAACATAACATAACGTAACATAACGTAACATAACATAATCATTTTACTAACATAAATAATAGGTTACATTTTAATAACATAACAACACAAATAAAATGAAACATAAAAAACTGTAGTCAGCCAGTCATTGTTGCAAAACAAAAACTTTGATAAGTTGATTATGATTGTTGCAATTATGCCAGTCTGCAGTGTATCCTTATCCTATTCCCCCTCTCTCTTTCATCCTTTTCTTTTCTCTGCTGTTTTACCGTAAAAGGCAAACAGCCCCAAATACAATAAAAAAGACGAATGTTTAGAGGAAGTTGAGCTAAAACATAACTTGTAGCCATAAAAGTAAAAGGCCCCTGAAGGGCACACAAATACACTGAAAGTGTCTCCTTAATCAAAAGAAGTCTATCAACCGACAGCAAATCTCTCAAGCTACGCTGTGGAATCCGCACACAATTCAACACCATGACAACAGATGGAGAATGCTATTCTTCTGCGCACCCCACCCCACATCATCATGTCCCCTGGCTCAGCACAAAGATAATCTCAAAAAGCTTGGGCCATGTGGAAACCACAGCAACACTACAGATGACCACAGAGCTATCTATCTGCTCCCAAATTGAATCCAGCTGAGAACTGCAGCAAAGAGTGGTGAGCAGAGAGAGAGAGAGAGAGATGGGATGGAGAGAGTATGTGAGAATAAAGACGCCTCAGACTTAAGACTGAGCTGTGCATCTCTTTTCCCCCAGCGGGACAGAGGGTCTTTTCTCCTCCCCGAAGGGGGTTGAGCATGACACAGAGGCAGAGCCATCCTCTCACGGAGAAGGTCCAATGCAGGGGACAGATGTTCCAGCTGGGCTCAGCCACCGTGACATCTCGGCCTCCAGCTGCTGACCGCCCACTTTCACATTTCTCAACACAGTCTTGTTAGGGACGGGCTCTTTTGCTTTCAAAAAGGACAAGTGGAATGGAAGGAGACTAAATAAATCAGAGTGTAAGAACCACAGCCTCAGCTTGAGACTAGATACTGTTAGACAACCAGCAGTATCGCATAAAGACAGACCCACACTGCACAGTATTCAGATCAGGAACGCACAATTACACAAGAAGAAGCTGTCGGACTGATATTAAAGGCAACCAAACAACCGCAGCTTTGCTTTCTTTTATGTGGCATTTGTCTGAAATCAGACAATAACCTTGCAATGTTTTCATATGAACTGTCAAATGTAGCATGCGACATTGCAAGCATTTTCCAAAACCAACGTCCGTCACTTACTATTTTTAAATAATTGTAGGCAGTATACAGTGCATACTCTTCAGGAATATATTTAGTAGTTTGTACTCGATCCAAACATAGCCAAAGCTGAACTAAAGACCATTGTTTATTTACTACTTTGATGCCAGTTGTTCTTCCCTTGAAGCATTCACTGCCTGGGAACTTGTAAACATGACTGATTCCCAGCGGACTGATAAAACCCTGTGTATTGACTCCCAGAAATTGCACAAATCTATAGCCAATCAGATTGGACATTTTGAGGCAGTTTTTACGGTTTTTAAGGGCAGTTCACATCAGACATTCCCTAAACGGTGCATGGTCATACCATATGAGGCCGAGGCCAGACAAGCCGAGCACAACTGTCTAAGTTTTAGTCTTTAGTTCAGCTCTGAAGACCTCTTGCATTCGACACTCATTCCTATAGGCATCTATGCCAAGCTGCCTCCGATAGCATGGGGCTCCAGAGGGAACCAAAGATCTCTAACCCCTGCGTGGATCATTACCACAGGATCAGAAACAGGTGGAATAATTAAAACAATATATTTATAGATATAACCTCTCAGGTCCTACTGTGCGGGCCTCGAACATGGGTTTTTGGTGTGGGAGGTGGGTGGCTCTACAAGGAGGCTAAAGACCGCAGTCACGAGCGTCGGTTGCTAGAGCACTTCTTGAGATCAGGGGAGTGAGGTTTACCCGCACAATTCTTACTAGCTGGCCTCCGTTTACATTTACATTTATGCATTTGGCAGACACTTTTATCCAAAGCGACTTACATTGCATTTCAAGGTACACATTTGTACTTTCTTATCAGTTGTTGCTTTCCCTGGAAATCGGACCCATGACCTTGGCATTGCAAGCGCCAGCGCTCCTCTGTCTGAGCTACAGGAAAGCTTTCTTTCTTTTCTTCCCGTTACACTCACCCCCTAAACCTTACTCCCATCTGGGCCACAGCACCAATGTAACCCCTCAGGTCCTACTCGCCCTACTCTGTGTGGGCCTTGAACCAGGGTCTCTGGCGTGGGAGACGGGCACTCTAACAAGGAGGCTTATATATATATATATATATATACTATACGTTTTTGTGAACCCTACAGACATGAGAAATTGCATTTTAAATAACCTTTTCAAATGTACATCCAAACCCCAATTTGTAAAGCAGACTTTCCAAATGATGGACACAATATATATAACAAAAGTGGTTTATCTCAGAAAAACTGAAAATTTGACTTGCGCATAAGTATGTGAACCCTTTTCTTTGGTGGCACATCCCTTTGCATCCATTACTTCAACCAAACGTCTTCTGTAACCACTGACCAGTCTCTCAGATCTGCATTTGGGGATTTTTGCCAACTCCTTGTTGCACTCCTCAGCCAGTTGAGAGAGGTTGGATGAACATCTGGCACGTACCACCTCTTTCAGGTCTAGCCTCAACATTTCAATTTAATTGATAATCTGGACTTTGACTAGGCCATTTCAGAGTAAGAATCGTCTTTCTTTTGAGCCATTCCTTGGTCTTTTTGCTTTATTGCTTTGGGTCATTGTCTTGTTGCATCACCTATTTTCGGCCCAGCTTCAGCTTCCTAACTGATGGCAGGAAATTCTCATCAAGAGTTTGCTGATAGACTTGAGAATTCAGGTTTCCCTGGATAATATGGGGTCGTCCAGGTCCATATGCAGAAAATCAGCCACAGACCTTCACATTTCCACCACCATGCTTCACTGTTAGGAGGAGGAGGATCTTTTCTTGGAATTCAGAGTTGGCTTTCCTCCAAAGATGGTAGTTCACTTCCAAGACTTCCTGGTTTGTCCATATGCTCTTTGGCAAAGTTGAAATTGGCATTGTTTTTTTTGTTGTTTTTTTTTTTTTAGAGCAGAGGCATCCTTCTAGCAACCTTCCCATAAATGTCATGTCTGTTTAATTTACGTCTGATTGTAGACGTGTACATGTACATTTATGCCAGATGTTGCTAGAGAGGTCTGCAACACAATAGAGGTCATGTGTGGGTTGGCCTTTATTTCATTTGTTATTTTTCTGGTGATTTTTGACAATAGCTTTAATGGGTATCTGCTTCTAGGCAGGGTTGGGGTCATGTTGAACGCCCTCCATTTGTAGATGATTTGTCTTACAGCTGGAATTTTTTGGAGATGGTCTTATTGCCTTCCCTGATGTCCTCAGATATCTTCATTTATCTTGGCATTGTCTGTCTTTGTGGGTACACCTTGGCACTACAATGGTTTGGTTGGTTTCCTCTCTCGTTTAATGAATGTCACCCACTTTCCTATAAGGATGTCCAATTAACTGATTAATTAAGCACCCAAATGTGTTTCACCTGATTCTGTTACCCATCTTTACCAACGCAGCTGGGAATTCGCTTACTTTTGCAGATAAACTCATTTTTGGCTACTCACACAATTCACTCCAAACAAACAGATGCAATTGATAAACATACATCTGGAATTTGATATATAAAAACTGCTGATGATAAAATAAGAAAATCATGGTAAAACAACAGAAAAATCTGTATGTATTTAGACAAAATCCCCAGTTTAGTTTAGCAGGATCATGATTGGGTAATGGTTAAATGCAATTATACTTTCATAAACATTGCGTAAATCGATAAATAAAAGTTGATCAGTTAACAACAACATTTAGATACAGTCAGCAAACATTAAAACAAGATACAGATAACATTATCAAAGGTTCATAACATTATCAAAGGTTACATAGCTTTAAAAAAAAAAAAACAATTTTATTAGTTACATTAATGCCTGCTCCATGATTTCCAACAATGTAATAGAGTTTTTGTGATTAATAAAAGTGAAGAAAAAAAAAAATCTAATGTTGCCATATGGCTACAAGGCTAAATAAACAAGCTGAATAGAGATATAAATGTGCATGCAATGCAAAGCCCTGCAGTGCTGCGCATTAAAACGCCGCACACAGAACACACAGCTCTCTGCTTACACAGGCACGGCTTCACCCCAGAGAATCACACTCGTATCAACCCGACAAGAGGAAAGGATGCTGATAAGATCCACTCAACTCGGATTCATTTGTCAAACAAAACAAAGCTGCTGTGAAACTGTGATATTTGGGACTTTAAAACACAGACAAATTGGCTTTGTGTAAAATCTCAGAGCCAGGTTCAATGGAGGCTCCCCGAGGGAATATGGATAGTAATTGGTGGCAGCACAGACACAAACAGAACGCTCAGGCTTGCTCTGACAGCCACAGATGGATTGCATAAAGACTTTATGGGAAGATGTGGTTCAGTGCACGAGTGGACTTAAACATGACCCACATTCTTCAGTCTCAAACCTCTCCGCTCGGCTGCACGCTCACGGCCACTGAAGGCCTCAGACTGGTGAGCAGAACGACTTCGGAAGATGCTTAGCAAATCCAATGAATCTACGAGGGGGAAAGAATGACAGAAGGCTGGAAAATGTTTCAAACAAAAGGTTAAAACTTCTGCCCTGTATTTTAATGATACTTTGTGTGAAAATATTCTGCTGGTTTTATTTTTTAAATGCTCACTTAATAAAAATTTTTTAAAAAATGGAATTGCAAAAACTATGTTTATAGACAGGTTTCCAAACACTCAACCATTGGTTGATAAACAGCCTCAACTCGTGCCATTGGTTGAGCCAATGTTATGTTTTGATATTGAAATGTATGACACTACAATAATCAGAGATGCACCAATAGATACAGAACTTGTCACTTGATATTAAAACTATTTATTAGTTTGACTAAATAACTCAAAGATAAACACTAAAAACTACCATTTTAAATGATAAAAGTGTATACCTACTTTAACCTAACATTCGATGGTATAATACGTAAAAGTAAATATCCAATATCATCTGATACTGATAAAGTCTAATATCTAAGATATTAGATATTAGATGAAGTCTAATATCAAGAGACTTGGTACCAATATATTGTGAATTCCTAAAAAAATATATATTAAAATAATATAGTTTATTGCAGTAATATACAGTGAAGTGGATCAAAACCTTTCAAAGTTATACATGAATTTTGAAGAATATCCACTTCAAATGTTGACTGTATTTTGGTTCTGCAGTTCCCTATTACAGAGTATACTGAAAAATAATATGTTTGTTTTAAAATGATTAATAATTAATACACACTTTTTCCATTGATGTACCCTATAGGTCCAAAGTCAGTATGTCATTAAAATATTTATTGTGGGAACTGTGCTATTTTTCTTTTCCAGGATTCTTTTAAATTCTGTAAATGTCTTGTCACTTTTAATCAATTGAATGTGTCCTTGCAGAATAAAAGTATTGATGTCTTCTGAATGGTAGAGTAACTAACAAGCATAAAGATTAGAGCTTGAGAAATGGACCCATAAAAAATAGATACATCATCGTTAACAGCACAACACGATATCAAATGAGCAGTATGACGCATTTAATCTTGCCTAAGTTACAGCTTTTTTTTAAAAAAACCAGAAGCGAAACCAGCGAAGACAGGAAACTGCGGTGCACTAACAAGAGCATTACTAAAGAAATGGGCAGAAGAGGCCTGTGGAGGCACAGAGAAAAGCTCTGCCAATCTATCACAAGAAAGCCTTTTGTTCTGGGCTGAATGTGAAGGCCCAGCTCCCAGACTGTGATACACTCCTTCAGCATGGCACCTCTGCCCGTGTCAAGTCCTCCATCTCTGGCAAGAAGCACCAGAGCGAAGCGACCCGGCGATTAATAACCTGTAACGGCACGGAAAGCCCTCTGCCGTCCGGGCGTGATCCTCAGTGTGAGTGACCGCTCTCCTGTGGCACAGAGCGCTATTCATCATGGCCAAATGAAAGCGGCTGTGGCAAAATGGACTTCATTCACGTCGCTGTCCGTTCAAATTACACCGGCCACAAGGGGCCGCCACACAATGTGCCTTGTTGTTACGGATTTTCCTGATAGATTCTTCCAAAAGGCTGTTCAGGGAAGCACCTTGTGTGAACGGATTGGCGGCAGCCATTAAGCATGGAGGATCTAAAGTGTTGAGCTGCGAAAAAAAGAAAAGAAACGGTAATGGAACAAAACCAGGAGAGCCGAAGACATCAATCAGGGCAAGTGTGACGATGGAATCAAACCAGTTTTACGCCGAGATGCTTTTTGTGAGACCTTGGGGGACGTGAAATAATGCAAATAAGACTTGTCATCTAGTTGAATGAGGAAAAAAAAAAAATCATAAAGCACAAACATTGTTGTTCAATTTGTGGAAAAGTACTAATGAAATGGTCAAAAAAACCTCACAAGGTTTGAACTCATGAGACATGTACGGAAGCTTGTTTCCGCCACTGAATAAAAATAAATAAATAAATAAATGCAACTTTTTATCTCAAAATTTCGAGATATGAAGTCAGAATTGTGAGAAATAAAGACTCACAAAATAATGACTTTATATCTCGCAATTCTTACTTTATATCTCGCAATTCGGACTTTATAACACGCAATTGCGACTTTCTATCTCACAATTCTGACTTCATATCTGGCAATTGTGAAAAATAAAGTCAGAATTGCGAGATGTAATTTTTTTTAAATGAGATTTATTTTTCATTCTGTGGCAGAAACAAGCTTCCATAGACATGGGTTTGAATAGAGTCAGAATCAGAAATAGAATCAGAATTATTGCCAAGTTTTCTTACACACAAGGAATTATTCTCAGTAAATTAAGCTTCCAGTGCACACACGTATACAACAAAAATATGAAAAGTAAAAGAAAAGTCGAGTGAATACAACAAACAATAAAAATAGAAAAACTGAGAAGCTCCAAGCCAAGGCAGTGATCTGCACTGCAGCCTCATCATGTCCAAATTATGTCCTAGTTAAATATGTTTTTTTAAAGTAAGCTTTAAAATATGCTAACATTACAGCTAACCATTAAAACAAGTTAATAGTTAATAATTTAAAAACACTGTTATGTATTCATACAGTTCATACTTAGGTCTACATTATAATGTTGTGATCTTGATTGATTTTAGTTTTTTTTTTTTGATTTTAGTTTTTTTGATTTCATTTTTCTTTTACAGAGCCATTAAAAGGGATAGAAATTATATATTTTAATGCTTTCGCTTTCTCATGCAAAGTGTGTTTCTATGAAAAATGTTCGCTAACAAAACCTTTGCAATTTGTTGAGAAACTTTTCCCTTTTCCCTTGCAAAGAGCTCAAAAGTTCAGCAAGTAAATGCAAAGTTTCTCGGGGGAACGCAAAATATTCACGAGAGAATGCAAAAGTAGCCTATTTAAATATACTTTTTCTCATATTTTTTCCCACCATTTAGGTTTCTTTGTTGTCTTTTATCTGCCATACATGAAAACAATCATCAACATGGGACAGAATTTTAATATTGTTGCATCCCTAATAGGACCAATTATTAAAAAGAGTGGCTTCAAAAGTATTCAAATAATCAGTAAAGGAATTGTGTGAAAGGGAATCATTAAATTCCCATTATAATTCCCAATTCAAGACTGTAACAGCAACCCCACACACACACTGACATCACTTAATCAGTGTAATCAGGTCAAAATGAACCAGGCGAAAGAGAGAAAGAGAGGAGAATGAGAGATTGGCTGACGAAGGCAGGGACATAGAGAGAGAGAGAGACGAGATAGACATAGTGCAGCTCCTCAGATGTCATTAAACCATTAAAGCAATTTTTACAATCTGACATCACATGACAGGCTGTCATAACTAAGTGGAGATATCAGCAGCTGAGATATTGGAAGGTGTCCAGTGTGTTGTAAAGCCAGGCAGTGATCCACCATTTATCCTCCTGACGCTGTAGTGTTGAGTGTTTGTTCTCCGCTGCATACTAACACACAGCATTAATGATGAGGTACATCACACAGAACCCGCACCGGATTGTAAGATAAGACCTGATCAATCTCTGGGCTCATACCTCCGACGCTGCCATCGATTTAAACTGGGGTCACAAACTCTCTGAAGTCATTCAAATGGAAGGCGGATGTACTGAAAAAAAAAGATATTTTCTATACAAATATATCTAGTCTTATTTTTTGACCAAAAAATTTCTACTAGTTTCTGATAACTGGAGCAGGACATTTCAATTATATTGCTGCTATAGTGAATGAAGTTATTAACCCAATAATAACATCCGATAGCAATCCATAATCCAGATATCCCTTCAAAAAAATTACATTAAAGTTATTTTAGGGGCTGTTTTTACACAACACCGTTTTCAACGAATAACGTAAAACTTTTTATGCGTTTTGGCTGTTCATGTACACAAACTTTTGAGAACGGGTTTCAAAGTGCAAGTTTTTCAAAGTCTCTGGAAAAACAACAAAGACATACAGTATCCTTAGGCCACGTCTACATTAAAGGATTAGTTCACTTTAAAAAAAAAAAAAAAAAAAAAAAAACTTTTGCTGATAATTTACTCACCCCCATGTCATCCAAGATGTCCATGTCTTTCTTTCTTCAGTCGAAAAGAAATTAAGGTTTTTGATGAAAACATTTCAGGATTTTTCTCCATATAATGCACTTCATTGGGACCCAAACGGTTCAAGGTCCAAATGAGAGTTTCAATACAGCTTCAAAGGGCTTTAAACAATACCAGACGAAAAATAAGGGTCTTATGTAGCAAAAGATCGGCCATTTAAAAAATAAATAAAAAAGTTTAAGTTTTATAAGCACAAATGCTCGCCTTGCTCTGTTCTGTGATGCGCGTTCGTGACTCTCCTTTTCGAAGTTGTTCATCAAAATTAACAAATCTTTTTTTGAGTCATTTTTTTAAATGACCGATGGTTTCGCTAGATAAGACCCTTATTCATCATCTGGTGTCGTTTAAAGCTGCAGTGAAACTGTCATTTGGACCTTGAACCATTTGGTTCCCATTGAAGTCCATTATATGAAGAAAATCCTGGAATGTTTTCATCAAAAACCTTAATTTATTTTCGACTGAGGAAAGAAAGACATGGACATCTTGGATGACATGGGGGTGAGTAAATTATCAGCAAAAGTTTTTTTTAAAAGTGAACTACTCCTTTAATCCGGATACATTTGAAAACGGCATTTTCGTTTAAAAACCAAGTGTTTTTCAGGCGTTTTCAGACGTTTCAGTGTGGATAAGAAACTTTTGAAAAACGCTAAATTCACCTTATTGTGTATGCGTAAAACCTCACTGAGATGATACAGACGGAAAAAAATAAAAAATACATTTACCGTGCAATACTTCTGACAGGATCATTTTATTTAGCTAAATATTTCCCCATTCACTGATGCGCCCAGGTTGCACTCAGACTCAGTCACCATATGTTTGGTCTAAAACGAAGCTGCTCTCATGTATTGCCACAGGACAGCAAATGTGAGTACATTTTCTGTCATCTTTGCAGGACTGTGATATGAAGAGTGTGAAAAGTAACACATTTTATCAACTGTGTGAAAGTGAATAGCACATAACAGGCACAATACTGTATAAACATGAATATATGGTTCAATATGCGTCAATTGACTACACTCACGGTTTAAATACCTCCGTTTTGAAAGTCCACAATACAACCCGATATCGGCGTTTTCAAATTTATCCACTTTGGAGAGCGTCTTCAAAAAGCTTTATTTTCATTAACAAAAACGTTGTCTCATGGTAACGGAAGGCCAAAACAGAGAGAAAAAGATGAAACGTATTCGTGTGGACAAGGCCTTTATTTAGTAAAACTGATCAACTGCTTGCTAACGAAAATATCTAATCAGCCAATCACATGGCAGCAATTCAATGCATTTTGCATGTAGACACGGGGTTCTGATCAATACTCAAATTGAAGCTTCCACAATTCCTCCATCCTTTGACCCGGAAACCAATCAAAGTTAGTCGATGTTGAAGAACATCTCAATTCTCTAATTACATCCAAGACGAGGAACAAGGAATGAGGAAGCTTCCAGATGAGCTATGAGTGAGGATAGACAGGTGTTGTGGAAAAACCTGACGCGCATACTCTCCTCCCCCTTCACATTTGTCACAATCATTTTAATTTACATTTTCCCATTGCAGTTTAAATAAATCATACATCTCGCTTATTTCAACAGGGCATTTTGCTTTAACCCTTATGCTGCATTAGGGACATTTTTGGTCTTTTGCAGTTTAATTTCTTTGACCATTTTGGCTGTTTTAATGCAAATGGTATGAAATTTGGCAAAATTGTGACTTTTTGGATACATGTAAAAAATGTGATCCCATTTTGCAAAATATGTATAACACACACTGTGTAGATCAAATAGTAACACTCAGCACCATAAAGACCAAAAATGGCCCATTGAAACCCATTAAAACGTTGTTTAAATCTGAGGCTGTCAGTAATACATGAAACATGATTTTTGCACAAACATCCTTTCATTTTGAAGCAAAAGCATTATATTTGCATTATATAGTGTATTCCACCAGATGACGTCACTACATATTTATTCCCTATGGGTGGAAATGCACCTTATTTTAGGCAATAGGCAATGTTTAATAGGTGGCCATTTTTGGTCTCAAACGCGCTAAGTGGGATTTTTTTGCAAAATGGGACTGTGATAATCCAAATCTTAAGTTTTCTCTTTGCATTTAGTTTATTGAAAATAATTGAATTTTTGTGTTTTTTCCTCTTATACAAATCGATGGTTTCGCAAACAAAACTGGTAATTAAAGGGTTAAAATCCTGAAATTGAATACATTTTTGGTAGTTATGATGAGGACTGATGCTGGTTAAAAGATTTAACTTGGTAAAAGTGGAAAATAATAATAATATATAATATTTTAGGCAATGTTTAATATGTGGCCATTTTTGGTCTCTAACGCGCTAAGTGGGATTTTTTGCAAAGTGGGACTGTGATAATCCAAATCTAAAGTTTTCTCTTTGCATTTAGTTTATTGAAAATAATAGAATTTTTGTGTTTTTTCCTCTTATACAAATCGATGGTTTCGCAAACAAAACTGGTAATTAAAGGGTTAAAATCCTGAAATTGTAATACATTTTTGGTAGTTATGATGAGGACTGATGCTG